AAATTGAAAATGATTTAAGAACTATATTCAATTTCCTTATCCTGTGGCCATTACTTCACTTATTTAGATGCTAAATAAAAATGACTTGGCTTTGGAAAACATTTTTATTCCATGGATAAGCATCACATTCACACAGATTCTTCTGATACCATGTATACTAAAAAGTGAATTATTTAACTGATGGGCAAGGTGATGCACAGAAATCCAAAATAACTCCCTCAATAACATAAGTCTTAGTGTATTAATATATTAATAAATGTATTAAATGGGGCTATGTTCTGAACACAATTCCAAATGCAAAATTAGAGCCATTGTATGAATAAATGAGTGGAAGGAAGGGTTGGAGATGCATTTCCACACACTTTCTGACTCAGATTTTCCAAAAATCTAAAGAGCTAAAGATTCATTCCCAGTCACTCCCGAAAAGAGGGACAAAAAAAGGATAACACAAGATTTAGCAGCTTCTATATTAAGGGACCAGAGGGGCTTGGAATATGATATTCTGGAGGTCAAAGGAGATAGGATTACAACCAAGAATCACCTACCCAGCAAAACTGAGTATAATCCTTCAGGGGGAAAAAATGGACATGCAGTGAAATAGAAGACTTTCAAGCATTCTTGATGAAAAGACTAGAGCTGAATAGAAAATTTGACTTTCAAATACAAGACTCAAGAGAAGCATGAAAAGGCAAACAGGAAAGAGAAATCATAAGGGACTTATTAAGGTTGAACTGTTTACATTCCTGCATGGAAAGATGACATTTGTAATTCATGAGACCTTTGTCAGTATTAGGGTAGTTGCAGGGAAAGAATTATATGTAGATAGATAGATAGATAGATAAATAGATAGATAGATAGATAGATAGATAGATAGATAGATAGATAGAGGGCACAGGGTGAGTTGAAGATGAAGGGGTGATATCTGGAGAATAAAATTAAAGGATGAGAGATTATACTGGGAGAAGGAGAAAGGGAGAGGTAGAATGGGGTAATTTATCTCACATAAAACAGATAAGAAAAAGCTTTAATAGTGGAGGGGAAGTGGGGGAAGGTGAGAGGGAATGAGTGAATCTTATTCTCATCAGATTTGGCTTAAGGAGGGAATAACATATACACTCATTTGGGTATGGAAATCAACCTTACCCTACAGGAAAATAGGAGGGAAGGGAATAAGTGAGGGGTGGATGATAGAAGAGAGGGCAGATTGGGGGAGGAGGTAATCTGAAGCAAATAATTCTGAGGAGGGACAGGGACAAAAGAGAGAATAGAATAAATGGGGGGGCAAGATAGGATGAAGGGAAATATAGTAGTTTTTCACAACATGACTACTATGGAAGTGTTTTGCATAACTATACATGTGACCTATATTGAGTTGCTTGCCTTCTCAATGAGAATGGGTGGGAACAGAGGAAGGGAAAGAATTTGGAACCCAAAGTTTTAAAAACAAATGTTAAAAATTGTTTTGACATGCAACTGGAAAATAAGATATACAGGCAATGGAGTATAGAAATCTATCCTGCCCTACAGGAAAATAGAAGGGGAAGGAGATAAAAGAAGGGGACAATGATAGAAGGGAGGGCAGGTTAGGGGAAGGGGTATTCAGAATGCACGACATCTTGGGGGGGTGGAGGGGCGAGATGGGGAGAAAGTTCGAAACTCAAAATCTTGTGGAAGTAAATGTTGAAAACTAAAAATAAATCAATTAATAAAAATATTTTTAAAAATGCTTACAACAAAAATGCTGGAACATAGTAAGATATACATATATGTATGTGTGTGTATGTGCGTTTATTTCCTTATCTATTTATTTGTTTATTTATTTATTTGTTCCCTTCCCCCTATACAATTGTCATGTTCAATGTAACCCAGGGCTCATACATGTTTCTGTGCCCCTTATTTGTATCATTAGCAATGCATGGGGTTTAGGAGCAAGCATAACATGCAGACATGATTCAAATCCACATACTATCATACTAAATTCACAGAACATGCAGACACCACAAATTTAATGGTATTTAACAAAGCAGGAACAGGAAGATGGAATGTTTTTATCAAGTACTTAGGTCTGTCACACTGACTAGAACAATAGCTTACATTTATATAGCACTTCAATGCTTGCCAAGTCCTTTATTCACATTATCTTATTTGATCCTCACAAAAATCCTATGAAGTATTATCCTCATTTACAGATGAGGAAATTGAGGCCCGGGGTCACAACTACTAGATGTCTTGGGAAGGATTTGAGACCATTTCTTCCCAATTCCACAGATTGAGTTTCATCTCCATCAAACTGGTCTGGAAGAGATTTCTAGTTGGCTCTAGAGTGCAGATATTCTGAAGAGTCTGACTTAGGTGTGATGTAATGACAAACTTCTTAACAATAAGAGCTCTCCCAAAGTGGACTGGGGTGCCCCAGGAAGTAATGAAGTCCTGAAGCAATGTTGGTTTTCAGATTTCATTTCTTACCTGTCTGAAGTACTTTGGGAGTCTCTTGACTTCTCTACCATGCCCCAGGAAGCTCATTGTTGGGAAAAACTCATCACCTTGCAAGATCCCAGCATGAACATTCCCTGTCCCTCTGATTGGGGGAGGGGGTGCAGCAGGGTGAGATGGAGCAATGAGCTTGAGAACTTCCATTTAAGGAGGGAGCATCACTCGTAGCTTCTCCTCACTTCTCTCCTGGCTGCACTACTTTGGGACTTCTGTGACTTTTCCACTACACCCCTCTACACCCCTACATCAGTTTGCTTCCCTCCCTTCTCCCCTTTTCAACTCCTTTTGTATGTTGCCCTCCCCTATTAGATTGTAAGTTCCTTGAGAACAGGGTCTGTCTTCTTTTGTATTTGTATCCTCATCACTTCACAGAGTACTTGGAACAGAGTAGGTGCTTAATAAATGTTTATTGACTGACAAAGGTTTAGCTTTTGTTTGTGCCCATAGTAGTGAGAATTCTTGTTTTGATTTGGGTTAGATTAGATAGCCTTGGAAGTCCTGTCAAATCCTGAAGCTCTGACATTTTGCAATGGACAGCCAAGTGCTAAAGTGGATAGAGCACTAGGTCTAGAGTTAGAAAGACCCAAGTTCAAATCCAACCTCACACACTTACTGGCTGTGTGACTCTGCATAAGTCACATCACCTGTGTTTGCTTCAGTTTCTTCTATCTGCAAAATGAGGATAACAGTATCAACCTCAAGGGTTATTGTGAAAATCCGATGAGATAAAAATTATAAAGTGCTTAGCCCAGTGCCTGGCAAATCATAAGGGCTGTATAAATGTTAGCCATAATTATTGCTTAGCCTCACTATTAAGGCTATATGCAATTACAATATAACATCCAAATTAGTTGCATAAAAGCTCAAGATACATAGGCCCACATATAGAAACATATGACATACCAGATCAAACACGTAGGTCACCTGCAATACATTTAATTCGATACAACATTTACCAAAACACCATTTCTGATGTTATATATGAAATATTCATCATATACTTTCATCTCTGAAATAAATGTTTGATATCCCTTTACATCTAGAGTTGACCTTCAAGTGAATATGTACTTTTCATATCCTTTGACTCACTGGCCTATGGTCCTTGTAGTACTTCAAGGCCCAGGCATAATGTCATCATCTCTAGCCTTTAATAAGTCAATCCCTGTAGGTAGCCTCTGTTGCTTTGGGTCCACCAAAGAAGAGGTATTTGGCAGAAAATAGAGAGTCTCTGGATTCAGCCTTGAGACACTAATGTACTGTTAGAGGAGTTGTGAACTGATCCAACCATTCTGGAGAGTAATATTGAACTATACCCAAGGGGTTATAAAACTGTGCATACTCTTTGTCCCAGCAATACCACTACTACATCTCTATCCCAAAGAGATAAAAAAAAGAGGGGGGAAAGGACCTATTTGTACAAAAAATATTTATAGCAGCTCTTTTTATAGTGGCAAAGAATTGGAAATTGAGGGGATGTCCATCAACTGGGGAATGGATAAACAAGTTGTGGTATATTACTATAATGGGATACTATTGAGCTATAAAAAATGACAAGTAGGATGATCTCAGAAAAACTTGGAAAGACTTACATGAACCTATGCAGAGTGAAGTGAACAGAACCAGGAGAACATGGTATATGGTACATAGTACATAGTAACAGCAATACTGCACAATGATCAATTGTGAATGGCTTAGTTATTCTCAGCAACACAATGATCCAAGACAATTCCAAAGGATTCATGATGAAAATTGTTATCCACCTCTTGGGACAATACAAGCATTCTTGGGTCCCATGGGAACAGTCATTGTCTCAAGTCTTGAGAGTTCTGACCACCCTGCCAGAGACACAACCAGAGCTCTGTGATAGGAACAGGAGTGCAGTACCTGTCCAGGACAAGAACTAGGGATTGTGAACAGGTAATGGATGGCCCAGGGAAACAGGGGGAGCTAAATCCCTCAGTGAACACCTGGTGCTGATCTAAGCAATACACTTTAAGAGATGATGATATTATCATCCAGAGCACAAAGGATTATTGTCATGCCAAGCTCAGGGTACAGCCTGCTTGCTAGGCCTTAGCTCTGGAAAACAGGGCATCTCCAAAATATTTTGACAAAATCAACTGTGATGGGACCAGTTGTGGTTAATCCTCCTATGTCTTGACATTTCTACTATGAACAAGAAAGGAAAACTTGCAGAGCCCAGAAGACAAATTATCCTGAAGAGTGAGACTGAGGAAGATTCAAACAAAGCTTTCTTTTTCAAGGTCTTGGAGACTGAGCTTTGTTTCAATTCTAACAAACGGGCAAGTTTCAGGAAAGTGTTGCTGAGTCCCTCTGTGAGGATCTGGTGGCCAGGAGGCCAGGAGAGAAGGGGCATCCTACAGGCATGGGCATGGAGGCAAAGAGTCTTGGGGTATAGAGGGAAGGGAGTACTTGCAGTTTTCCTGCATCCTTAGCACCAACAGAATTGAGAGGATTGACTGAATTGGGTTTATGCTTCCAAATAGGGTGTCTGTCCTCTATGCTGCGGAAGGTGTGTCCAGGTCCATGGACTTGAACCACTGGACTGAGAGCCTGAGAGGTCAGGCTGAGTGTGAGAGACTTGTAACTGTGTGACCTAATGGGATCTGAGAGGTCAGGCCTGAAAGACTCTAAGCCTTCCTAGATGCTTGGAGAGTGACCCCAACTGCAGGGTGAGAAAGGGATAGGGAGAGAGGGGAGGCTTACATACCTTCCAGTCTTGGCTAGAGAGGAACTGTAGCTTCTTGTCTCTTTTACCTTTGAGACTTATCAGATAAGCCCTAAGCATTCCTGCTCTCCATTCCCATCCTTCTGGGAATATTGAGCTGCATGTACTAGAAAATGCATATGAAGTTTTAAGTTAACAACACAGAGCACAGAGACCCCGAAACCAAGGTGCAGGGATCCCTGAAGAAAATCAGGCACAGAGGCCAACAGGACACAGAGACCCCAAAACCAGGACACAGGGACCCTCAAAGAAAAATGAGTAGCAGAGGCCCACTTACCCACCTCCCCCAACATCACATGGGGGAGGGGAAGGAACAACACAGGGTAAAGGGTAAAAGTCCCATCAAGCAGAGCAAGGTGTATTTTCTTTAAGTTTTGGAGACTAAATTTCTTACTAAGCTTGTCTTATTTAGAAATCTCCTTCACAAATCATTTTTCTAGATTACATTGAGGTCAGGCTGTATTAGAATGGAACAATAGGCACTTTTCCTTAAGATCTCCTCCCGGAATTTCCCATCCTAGTCACCTAGCAACCTCTGGCTCCCAGCTTTTACAGATTACTGAAGGACAAAGCCAGTGTACCAGGCACAAGGAAGTCTTCAAGCTCTTTTGTGAAGGTGACCAGACATCACTCTGTGGTGTTCCCAAAGCCCAGAGCATGGGGCTCATAAATTCTCTCCTGTAGGAGAAGCTGTTCATAATTGCAGGAAGAAGCTCCAGCAAAGCTTTAGGAGGAAGCTGAGAAATTTCTTGCTCAGAAGGAAAGACGTTGTTGACTGGCACTGGGGACACAGGCCAGATACTGGGCAGAGGAGAATATAACAGACTGAACCACTTCCTGATAGAAGAAGATTCTCACTGTCTTGAAAGGGTGAAGGAAGAGGAAAGGGCAAGCCAGGACAGACTCTCCCAGCCTATGCAATGCCTTCAGGATCTCATGCTAGTTCCTCAGGAAGCAGGCCACCAACCCAATGTGGATCTGCTATGGGAAGTCAAGCAGTTGCTGAGAAGGACTGAATCAGTGTTGTCCCAAAGGGCCAAGGCTGTTACCCCAGAGCTGAGAGAATACCCCATCCCTGGCATAATAGAGATTTAAACAGCTATATTGAGAATTTCTTGTCATTCCTGCCCTAGTTTAAAAGCAAAGGAGAATTTGTCTTAGGCCACTGAAGTACATGACCTAATCCAGTATTTCATGGAAGGAGAGCCAAAGCTGGATGTAGCACCTTGATACAAAGGTAAAAGATGGATCCTGTTAGATTATAAACAGGAATAGTTTTCCAAAGGTACATAACAAAATTCTACTAGGGCCCAGGCATCCTAAAAGCAGTCCAATCCTTCATCATTCAGCTACAGGCTACTCCATTTTTACAACTATAGAATTCTGATTTTCTCACAAAAAGTGGCGGGGATGAAGTTTTCAATGAAGAACGAGCAAGATTTGCTTCAGAGGACTCCTAACTCTTCTGGATCCTGATATAAGACAACATAGATCATAGGAAGCCTTGTCTGTGACAAAACCCTTGCTACTTATCTATAGAATATTCTTCCACTGGCATTATCAATACTAAGGGCTTGGGCAAGCAAATAAAAGACCCTCAGAAACCAACTGGAGATCTCTAGGCTTGACGTTCTTGCCTCATGCCCAGGAAACCCCAAGTGTTCCAGGCAAAGAAGTTTCTTTGCTCTAGTTTACCATCGTAGTAGAATTGTCAAAGTAGTAGAACATAAAACAGGTGCAGCTTCAGGTACAGAATTCTAAGATGGTCATTGTTAGAGTACATCAGAATGAGGACTGCTTGAATTTCGGTACTTGGTTTCAACCTTCAAACACAATGACCAATTTCACTAGCCTGGTGCTATCAACATATGACCTTCACAAGTTGTTAATGCTGCCTTGAAGGGTAGATTGGTCACAAGAGACATGATGGGAGGGATCACAACCCTATGGACTGTCCCATAAGTTGATTGAGAGGAGTCAGGGCCCGTGAAGATAGAGGTGGTAGTTGGAGAGGTCTGAAACTCTGCCCTCCTCCCATCCCCTAAGGCTTAGCTAATGTTTATTCTACTAGTGCTGTGGGGTAAATTTGAATCTTGGCACTCAATTGCTATGTAGCCTCCAGATAACATTCTTGTCTTATCAGCTAGTGCCTATTTACAATGTAGATTGTGACAGTGGGACAAAAGTCTGGCTACCAAACAGATTAAAACACATGAATTTATACCTACTGACTTTTCCAATGATAGTATGAAGGTGGGATTGTTTTTCAGTCTGACCATAGAGGGCATTCATTTGAATACTTTCTATGGGCTCTTTCTTCAGTAGGGTCTATGTGATCAGATCTAATATCTCTCAACAAGTCAGGGGGTTTACCCCAGAGTTCATGAGTTCCTCAACTACTTCATCCCATTTCAAAATGGAGATTTTCTAGTCCTGGGAGATCAATTCTAGGCAATCTCTTCTAGCATGAATTTGACAGGGTCAAATGGCTAGGACCCTACGTAACAATATATAAAACATCCAGATAAGTAACTAAACTTTCCAGGGGAGGTGCCTGGAACTAGACATCTTCCAGCTTTCAAACTACTCAATTTCCCACCTGGCTACCACCCAGGGCATCCTATTCCATTTGTCCTAATTAGAAATAGCCTCAAATGCTCAACTTTCTCCTGGTAGAGAAACAACAAATCAGAGCTAATGCATTGCCTATTTTGGGCCTACGGAAAACTGTAATCACCTATCCTACCTCATCCCAGTGAATGTGCAAAACTTGCTGGATCAGCCATGAAAGAAGTGAAACAATGGATCTCCCAAGTGTACTTATTCAGACTGACCTCCCCACTGCCACTCATTGCATTCTGCCTTCTAGCCTAGCAAATACTCTATAATTACAGTTCAAGGCTTTTGAGAGCACAAATTAAGACCTTATCAATAAAATATCCATTCTATCCTAGCTAAGAACAGAAGTCAAGAGTATCAGTAGCCACAACTTCAACTTTTTTGCTCCTATCACTTAAGAAACCCAAGCTCTATATAGTACCAGGAAAGACCACCAAGATCCATTTTGATACAATCAGGGTCCATTCTTCCCATGCCTTCTAATAATCTCACATTATTTTTATGATGATTACTATTCAGAATATTAACTGTAACCACATTACCTGAGCTGCTTGTGTTCATGTGAGTAATAGTTTGCTAGGGAGGACCACAAGCTTGTACCTACATGTTTCTTCTACCTTTTATCCCACCTGAATTAAGCCCAAAATGGTACCTTGGAGATGACTTTATAGCACCCAGTTCTTGGGAAATTGCTAATAGGTGGGTCTTATGGAGTCATCCTGTGTATACGTCCACAAGACAAAAATAATATCATATGGGACCCTCTGTGGTTAGCCTTTCTTGATACTTCCCCTTGTTTAAGATATTTGAGTTCTATGTAAAACAAATGGAGGTAGTTACTAAGTCAAGGTGTTTGTAATCAAAGTTGGGAGAGCATTAAGTTTCTGAATATGGGGGCAGCAGTCAGCTATCAGTCTATTTGCAAGCTTGATAGCTTGCAAGCGACTATGGAAGTAGGAATGAAAATGATACATTAGAACTTCCTTAAATGATAAAGAACCAAGAAAAAACCAAAGATCCTCCTAGTGTTTTTATACTCGAAACAAAAAAAAAAGACAGTAGGATTACTTTTTAGAAGAAGTAGGCTAATCTCAGAAGGTTTATTATTATCCCCTCCTATTACCTTCACAATGAGCTCAGGAAAGGAGCATCCAAGCAAAATAAATGGGAGAGGATTCTTCATGTGAGAGGATTCTCCCGCCACTGCATATGACTCACCATTACTTGATAAAATTCAGCTATATAGAAAAGCTGTCTACAAATGTGTTTGTTGGTTACCTACTAAAGAACAGATTTAGGAGAACTCAGCGGCTGCTCAGAAAACCATCCCTAATCATCTTTAAAACAAAGTTCTAGCCCTGGAGTCAACGTAATTTGCACAAATCACTACAAATTTGTATGTTTATAACTTGCCACTGTCCATGGATAGATGGAGTCTTGAAAATATACTCAGACTACTTTGACAAATTCCATCTACAAGGGTCCTGGGAAATTCAGCAGCAAAAAGGTGAGATATGATGGCATTAACAGCACATGAAATGCTACTGTTGGTCATTTTAATAGAAAATTCATTGAGACACTGTCAGGACTTTCTCTTGAAGAAATTCTGTTGTGCGTGTTTGGAGGTGGTGGACAGAAGCTATAAGAGAGACAGAATGAACACCCAAAGGAGAAGTAGGACACATAAAAAGGAAGGCTTTCTTGAAAGATATTTATATTATCTGGTCACAAGTACTTTATAGAATGATTTTTTTTCTTTACCATACACTCTGGTTATAAATTGAACAATTGCTCAAATCTTTATTCTGCCTTTTTTTTTTTGCTTCTCTTGTTTCTACATACCAAGTATATATACAGTAATTCTTCTTGGCTATAATAACAACCAAATACCAAGCAATACTCCAGCCGTATTAACTATTACCCATATTAATGATCTGCCTTCAGGCAAAGAGATGAGTCATTTTTTATGAGGCAGTACCCAGAACAGGTGTAGAGCCTACAACAGGTATGCATGGAGCCTCTATACACCAAAATACAAATGTTCAGGTAGCAGCTGTTCCTGTTGAAGCCAAGTAGGTTGCAACAGGTTGCCATACATATACCCAATAGACCATTCTCCATAGGGCTATCAACCAATAAGCACTTGTGAAAATATGTAGATATGCCTATATCTGAAAGAAGGTGTGAAAGCTGAAACCACCATGTTTTTTTTT